GTGTATATATATATATAAAAAATGTTTGCTGTGACCTTTCTTTTATAGGCTCAGAACAAAGAAACGAAAGTACTGGCTGCTGCAAAGGTGATTGATACTAAATCAGAAGAAGAACTTGAAGATTACATGGTTGAGATTGATATTTTAGCATCCTGTGATCATGCTAATATTGTTAAGCTCCTAGATGCGTTCTACTATGAAAACAATCTGTGGGTAGGTATTTTTTCCTCTCTAAATGCTTTTACTTATTTCAAGAGAGTATTGAAATTACTTTTTTTTTCCTTGGCTTTATTAAAAGATCATTTGTCAATCACATTTTTTCTGGGTTGTCACTATTGTGATAACTATTCAGTTTCAAAACTAATTTGTAAATTGTGAGTATGACTTTTAGGAAATTTTCACTGTAAAATTGAGCTACACTGAGTCATTTGGTCAGGAGTTTGAATCTAAAATTTGGAAATTAGCAGTTCATTTTGGTGTATGGAGAGAGTTCTTAGTCAGTGCTTATTTGTAACAGCAGGACTCAGATTTTAATTACATTAGCACAATTTAGAGTGAGATTCAGAATCTGCAGCTGAAAAATAAATAATATGCTGAAAAGGTCAGCCTGTGAAGTATGTGTTTTAGATACGACTGAATTCATTGGTACTTCCAGGAAGGACAGTTTACCAGGACTTGAACCATAATTAATTTACTTAAAATCCAGATACTTGTACATAGAAGTATAGTGGGCATACATATGGCTGTACGTCACTCTTCTGCTATATCCTGTGCACTGAATAGCTTTAGCTGTGAAAATACTTTTTTTTTTTCTCATAGGTGATCCAATGCAATATTTATAAGTGCTTTTGGAATCGTACAAAGAATACATGTTTTTTTAAAAAGAGTTTATAATTAAAAAAGAACCTAAAACAAGTAAAAGAAAATTTCCTTGGAGTCTTACAAATATGCTTTATCCTTTAAGCATGAAAACAATGGAAGTGTAATACCATGTTTCCTGATGTAGATTTATTTTTATAAGCTTTGTGAAAACTTCGTGTGATCTGAATGCAGAGTAAAATGATATTTTATAAAACAGTGGAGTAGTGAAAAAATTTCCATGCATAGAGGTCAGCATGAAAGCAAGTATGCATAAAGGCAGAATATGAAACTGAGTGGATAGGCTTCACTGGCAGAATAAAGATAGAAGAGGAGTAAATAGTTTGAAAATAAAATTGTAGATGTATAGTTACGGTGAAATGCAGAGGCATGAAGGCAGCAGAGAGAAGGCTATAATGATGCGGTAAGTAAACAGAATTTAGTGGAGGAAAAAAAGAAAAGAATGATAGTTGGACATACAATATGTTTTTGCTTCCCAGTTTTAGAAACATAATTTCTTTACCAAAGAGGCCTTTGTCAGATTGTCAGATGAAACAGCAAATTTTAGAGAAAGAAATTCTTTATTTACAATTTCCCACACTTAACTTACTTGGCAGTAGGTACGCAGAGGCATGTAAATGGAATAATGGTTTAAAGGATTTACAAAGAGCTGCATTATATAATATGTTGTTAGTACCATTGTTGTGAGGATTAATTACAATAGTAATTTGAAGTAATGTGTAACATAAGTGGTATATATATAAGTGTTATGGTCTAAGTTCTAATTTGAGGTTTCCTCTTTTATGGGCAATTATATTCTGATTTTAAAAGTATTCTAAAGGAAAAAATTCAGGTATTATTTCCCAGAATATTGACTGTTAGGATTCTGACAAGGAAATACTTGTTAGCTGTCAGACTGAAAATTATAATTTAATGTTTAAAGTTCAAGTTAAAGAAGAAAAACACATAAGGAAGGGTGGGGTGTCAGTCTTGGGTGATCTTTCCTCTTTCTTGCCCTCCTCATTCCCTTTCTGTACCCTCTTTCTCCTTTGTGTATCTTCTTTCTGTCCTACATGTCAGCATAGTTTGTGCCCCAAAATAGTTGCAGTTTATTTTTGTTTCAAATGGAAACTGAGAGCTGGAGATGGAGTTGTTCTAGTATTATTAGACTCTGGGATAAAAGCCTTGATGTATTGTAGGCATGAATGAAAATGCAGGAAAATGCATGTAAACATCTGAATTTACTCATTTTCTGTAAGTTTTAAGAGTATTTTTCAGTATTTTCATCTCATCTGAAACAATAGAGGAGATAACATCTGCTACTGGAAAATCATGTAGCTCTTATACTTGGACTTTTCAGTCAGAGAGATTATGCTATAGAAGTACAGTTTAATAATCGAGAAATGAGTTTGCAGGGATTATGTAAATCACATAACAACGAATCAGATTCAAGCTGACTGTTTTATTATGTTTTATAAGTTTTATTATGCAATTTTATCTTTCGTTTAAAACTTTTGTCTGAGGATCTCCAAGAATTTTTCAAATAATTTGCTTGAGCATTACAGCCCTACTTTTAGCTGGATAACAGTACCAGTATTTTGCAGAGGTTAGTGAAATAATTTGTCAAGGCCAAGTAGTCTGAAACTCATGTCTCCTAATAATGCTCCCTTAATCAATGGTTCAGTTTAGCGGAACTATTTAATTTGTAATTTGTGTATTCCTTTTTTTATATACAGATCCTGATCGAATTTTGTGCAGGTGGAGCAGTAGATGCAGTAATGTTGGGTAAATAAGTTGTTTCAAATAATAAACTTAAGATCTTAAAATTACAATATATATATATATTAAGACTTGTTTCACATGTTTTGAAATGCAAATATTTACGTAATTACTGTGCTATATGTGTTGAATGTTGGGGTTTTTTAATTAGCATTTACACCTATATCTATGGACATTATAACTTCTTAAGTGAGATTAGTTTTCTCTCATTTTTAAAGTGTTTATTTACTTTTCAAAACACATTTTTGTCCTGATCCTTTAAGTGACTGTGATGAGTTGTTCTCACACGCTCATGGAGCCCTCTGTTATAACATAATCTATATGAGCCATTTTCAGGATCTCATTCTTCCCCTGCCATCTTCCAAATTACATAGTGATAATTTTTTATCAATCTTAAAGTTAGCTTTTTCTGTGCTTATTCCGCAAATTAGGTGAATGCTAATACCAGTAAGTAAAGGATCTAGTCTTTAACATCTCGGTGTACCATACAAAAGAACTAATCTCTAAACTGTAGCTTTTTCACAGTTCAGATAGGTAGGTATACATAGTTCATAATTAAGAGGGTTTTGGGTGCAAAGGATGAAATTTTTACTGAAAGGAGCAAATATTTTAATATAGAAGTTTTTCTGACATACGATGTTCAGAATCTGTCAGATTAATTGATTTTCACATACACCTCTAATACTGATTGCTATGAACACGTAACATAAAATGCAAAAATGTTGTGTTTATTTCTGTCTCTTTCTCTTGTAGAACTTGAAAGGCCATTAACCGAGCCACAGATCAAAGTGGTGTGCAGACAGACACTGGAAGCATTGAACTACTTGCATGAAAATAAGATCATCCACAGAGATCTAAAAGCTGGCAATATTCTTTTCACGTTAGATGGAGACATTAAACTAGGTAAGCATGTTGCATATAAAAGTCTTTCCCAGAACTTTGCCTGGTTTTATAATTGTATTTGCCTTAGACTGTAGTTTGACAGGGTTCAATATTTCTCTGTTTAAATATAAATCTAACAATGAGAGTTTTTTTAGATGCAAGTGGTTTGCTACTAAGAAGAAAAAAAAAGAAAAAAACCCCAAGCTTGAGTAAATGTCCTAACTGTACTTGGCACATCTTTCAGACTTCAAAATCGGCAGGGGTCGGAGTCGTATCAATATCTGTACCAAGCTGCCTAAAGTCAGAGACAGGTCCTACTGCTTCTTAGTATAATGTTCTTGAGTATACTTACCTTTACTATGGTAACATCAGAACTTCCCTTTGAAGTTGTTAGTTTAGAAAATGAACATCCTTCACAGTCACCAAAAACCAGTACCTACTACTGTTGTCTCTTCCATTACTGAGAGAGAGAGAAGTAATAATCTTAATTACTCAACTTAGTTTTTCCATGCCTTTTTTCCATGCCTTGTTCATTGCACTGAAATTAAGGTAGAACAGTCTGGAAGAAGCTTACTATTGTTGATTCCTGGGGTTTTTTATCTGAATTTAAGCAGTCATCCACATTTTTCCTCTCATGTGGTAGGGAATCGATCAGGATTCCTCCATGAAGAACTGACAAAGGACTAATGGTAATGAATAGCATCCCTTCATTCAGCCAGGAAAAGATAGGAATTGTCTGGATCCACTCTGTTAGGGCATCATCGGGGCAAATGTGTATAAGCTGGCAGCTGTTGCAGTGGCTCTACCAATGTCATAGTTCCATGACATAGCAGCTTGCGTTCAGGTTTCGAAAACTTCTCTCCTCGTGATGTGTGTGATTAGTTGTATTTCTTTGGATGCAAGTTACACAGAGGGTAAAGGAGAATCAGAAGATCACCACAGTGAACTGGGGCTCTAAATTCCCAGCCTTGCTACAGATGTTCCTTTTAAATGTAAGCAAGACGTGTCCAAATTCACAAATATATCTACTACCTAACTCGTATTGATAGCAGTGTCTTTGCCAGGTATAGTTCATCATCTCTATTAAGAACGTGAGAATATTTAAGAACCTGCTTTGCTACATTGATCAGTTAAGTGTATCTGTGCTTTTTGCATTGACTCCCTTGGACAAGATTATTACTTGTACATATAACACTTGCATGTGCCTTTCTTTTCATCCGCAAAGTACGGGTAACTTTACTGTTTTGGCTTTTCTTGGAAGCCTGAAGATTTAGTAATGGACTCAGTCTCATAGGCCTTATAAATGCAATAGAACCATTATCTTAGTTTTTTAGTACTACTGTAAAAGAAATCACAGATCATAGCAAGAGTCTCATGGTCAGAGAGAGAATCATTTGTTTCTGTTCGTTTTATTTACCTTACATGACCTGGAACTATTTTAAGATTTTGTCAAGCTTAGCTGATATACAGCACTGTGCAGGCTGTCAAGATACTACTTCACAGTTCAGACCACAGGGAGATTTCTTCCACACATATATTTAGTGATGTATTCAGGTTTGCTAATCAAGATTTCTAAAAAAAAAGATTTAATTTAGTTTTGAAAAGTTTACAGCATCCCTTGAAAGAGCATTTTACACCTTTTAAACTATTTGTATTTTGATTCTGGTACACACAGAATGGGTAATTCCTTGTTTTACAGATATGTGAATGGCAAATAAATTTCCTTTATTGCATTTTATTTGTATAAGGATTTGAGTTTTATTATTTCAGTATTTGTAGTCCTCAAGATTTCAGATTTTGCATTTGAACAAATAGCTCTCCTAGTCCTTATTGGTTTTTCCACAGAGAAAAATTAGGCTTCTCAAGTGTTGAGCCCATCAAGTAATTTTGTACAGATTAGAGACGGCAACATATGGCAATTTTCTCCCTTTGCTCTAATCTCTAGATCTTCATTAAGAAAGTTACATCTATAATAAGCATATACACTTATTTAAATGTCGTCTTTTTTTTCTAAGTGAGAAATGTAGTGCTTTGTAGACAAGTAATATTAATTGCAAAGATAAAGATGGTTTTTGGTTGGATCTTACATCAAAGGTGCATATGCAAGCTTTCAGATATTTAATATACAGTGAAAAGTTACGTGGAAAGAAACTCATAAGATAAAGGGAAAATGTAGCTTTATGAGAATTTGAATCCTGAAATTAAAAATTGAATGAGTTGCTGAATTAATGAAAGAGCTAATGCCATGTCTGAGGAATACAGCCTTCATAGGCTAAAGAAATTGTTTTCTAATTAAAGTAATTTAGCGCACTTATTCCTACAGTAAATACATGCATCGCTCTTGTCCCACAGAACTCAACAGTAGCATTACTTTTTTTTGGCAATGGAGAATAATGTGTATTCAGTAACTTCTATTAGAAATGCTGTAGAACCTTGGCACTCAGTCATCAAGATACAAATATTTTTATCTCACTTTGAAGTTTTAATACTGCAGAATGTTTGCTCTGGAACATATAACATTTTAAAAGACAGTTGTAAAATATAGAAATATAATTTGTTTTCTACCACCCAGTTAATAGCATTTTACTGTTTGCTTTAAGCGGATTTTGGAGTATCAGCTAAAAACACAAGAACAATACAAAGAAGAGATTCTTTTATTGGTACACCATATTGGTAAGTGCACTGTTTTGCTGACTTTTTAGTATGAACTAGTATCTTATTATTACCTTTGTTGTTAATATTACATGCTTGATATAATATCATGTAAATATATTAAGTGAGAGTAGAATGTGCTTTTTAAAATACTTCAGTGAATTTATCTATTTAGAACCTTTTTCAGAACAGATAAGAGTGCATTTTCTAATCTGATACTTCATTATTCTCTTTGCAGGATGGCTCCAGAAGTAGTAATGTGCGAGACCTCTAAAGACAGGCCTTACGATTACAAGGCTGATATTTGGTCTCTTGGCATTACTTTAATAGAAATGGCTCAAATAGAGCCACCTCATCATGAATTAAATCCAATGCGAGTGCTTCTGAAAATAGCAAAATCTGATCCGCCTACATTAGCACAGCCTTCAAAATGGTTAGTATTTTATTTACAACTTTCCCACCCCAGTTTGTAGATTTTGAGTATGAGGCATGCCAAGTTGTGTATTTGCTAAACTTACATTCATGGGCATAGACCTGTTGAACTTTATCGGACTAGCTTTATGCATAAAGTCAGGTACATATTCTATATATGTACGTTTGTACATGTATACATACATATATATAGCTCCTAATACAATTGGGACTATGGTTTTCTTGTCGTAGTTCTGTGTAGAAGCTTTTATACTGAAATAATTTGCAGATTTTGCATTAAAATGTATGCAAAATAGCTTTTTACAAATGCAATAAAAGATCTGAAGACCATCCGAAAAAGAAAATCGGGTGAAAGGAGACTAAAGTGTTTTTATACTAAGAAAACGTTTTAAAAAGCTGTTATCTATTTGGTCATTTTAATATCTTTGTGTGATTCAGTTAGTGATATAGCAGATGTGGTGTATTATAAATCCAGAGCAAAAAGTAAACTCTTCTATAAATGGACAAACGTTTTAAAGATTGTATTTGTGCCACATTGGTCTTTGCATTCCTGTACTATCTTTGTGTTTTCCTAAATCAATAGAAGGACCTGGAGTGCAGTGTAGATGCATGTGAAAGCAAAAGAATATTTCACTATACACTAGTCTGATGTCAAAACAAAATAAGAACCACTACATGTTTGCTTTTTGTGTAGGTCATCAGATTTTAAAGATTTCCTGAAGAAATGTTTGGAAAAGAATGTAGATGCAAGGTGGAGTGCAACTCAACTTCTACAGGTAGGAAGACTTAATGATTCAGAACTATTGTTTAAAAGGCAAGCATATTTTGTATTTTTTAAAAGCAGAGCAGTATTATAGTAACTATTTAAGTAATAATTTCAAATGAAGCGTTCATACACAATCTGTTTTTTAGACTGTTGCATTGATCCTTATTTGGTAAAATCTGATTATGATACCAAGTGCAGATCAAATTCTTTGTTTACATATTTTGATGTAATATAACTAACTACTTTGCATAAGTATTTATACTTTGATACTTATAATGGATGAAGGAGATATTTACATAAGTAGTCAATTGCTGACAGGTGTTTTAAAAGCTTTAGTGCTCAGCCTTCCTCTGTAATGCTGTCACTGCAGAATAGCTAAACAGGAGTAGATGTGACTAGGTACATTTGATTCCGTTTAACGTCAGCACACATTTACTTTATCCAGAATACTTCCGGCATATGTTGAATAGATTTAAGCAGCAGGGCCAAGCAGAGAAAGAAGATTCAGACAGTGGGAGAAGAACAGGTAGCTGTTTCCTCTTAAAGAAAAATGTAGAATTCTATGTTCTTGTTAGGAAAAGTTGTTTTAAAGGCAAAGCAGATTTTTTCTAGAAAGAATATTTCTAGATAAAGTTTATCAGGAAATAATTTAACTGTGGAACTGAAAAGAAATGAAACTTGTTTCCAGGAAAAATAACCTTTTAAAAAATCTTTCTACTTCTATTCTTTGGATTGTGAATCAGGTCAGTATAAATGAATTATTCGTATTTTTAGCAAGTTTGTTAGACTACTTATACAGTATATTTGAATACAAATGTTTTGAATTTAAAACTTCTGCAGAAAAAGAATGCATTAGGACAGTTATGATTAATGTTAACTGTGAATCTTCAAGTTTGAGAGACCAAAGTAACATTTCTCTGAAGTTATATTTCTTTCAAGTTATGATTTTCCCACTGTATACGATGAAGTCAGCATTTAATATTGTGCTTATTTTTTATTTTCACAAGCATCCATTTGTTACTGTTACTTCCAATAAACCAATAAGAGAATTGATTGCAGAAGCTAAGGCTGAAGTTACAGAAGAAGTTGAAGATGGTAAAGATGAGGATGAAGAAGAAGAAACAGAAAATTCTCTGGTCAGTTTAAAATTTACTTTTTTAAATATACAACTAGTTTCAATCACCAGTTTCCTATGGAGAACTCAGTTTCTGATGTACTACTCAACTTTTGAATCAAGTCTTCTAAGAATAACGACATAAACATGCTGTAACCTTATTACAAAATAAGTAGTCAACATTTTTAAAATTAGCATGTTCTTAAACTCCTTAAGAACTAATAATAAAGAATATTATCTAATAAAGAATATTCATTTATTTTTACATGTATATGTAATATAGAATTTTAAAAATCAGATACTGATTTTTATATAAATGGTTTTAAGTCAAAATAACTCGATGAATGAGTAAACATATATTTGTATTCCATAAGATGCTTAAAACATTAAGGAAGGTATGTGACCATTATGCTATAAACTAAGTTTGTGATTTTACAACATGGCTGTCAAAGGAAAAAACAAAAGCAAAAACTGCCATATTTTACCAAGACAGGATTGTATTTATGAATATATTTCTAAAGATGCTTAAGAATCTTACAATGCAAATTCAGTTTCTCAAAGGGCAAAGCTGTGAAGTTCAATGATATAGTAGTAGGTTGCAGAGTATACAGGTAGCATGCTTTCAGACAACTGGCTCAAGCGCTATAAACATGGACGGTGACCAGTACCACTAGTAGCTGCCATTACCAGCAATGGTAAAGAAGCCAAATGCATGTGCACAAGAAGCATGCCTCCATTTCCTTGCCCCTCACCACGCTAGTCACTTTCCCTGTCCACCCCAGCGGATCTCCAAGTGTGCATTTCCGCCAACTGCCTCCAGGACTTATTCTCTATCTCCTAAGGCATCACCCACCACCTCCCTCCACTGATTAGCTGCTAAGCTATCAGTCCCCAAGAGGGTTGGAGTGAAGTCCACCCTGTGACTCAATTAAGCATCTCGACACAAGCAGAAGTTTAGGAAACTGTGAGGTAGATGCATTTACATTATTTACTTGTAGTTTAAAAAACTGCTTGGAGATCAACACTAAGCTTCTAGAACAATTACGTGAAGAAATCTTTTGAATGCACTTTTGATTTAGGAGGAGTTGTTTTCTGTATCCTTAGGAAAACCTTAGGAAAAAAGGTAGGAAATGCGCGATCAAACCCTGCTTGTTACAATAGCTAACCTAGTATGTTCCCAATGGCAAATCAGAAGCCTGATCTGCAAATTACAGGGTTCTAACAGTAAATATAGACTCAGAGATATCGTAATCACTTTGAAGAGTGAAAGGGCAATTATGGTTAAAATGATACTTTATTAGTATATTCTTTTGTATGTCTATATGTAATCTGATAACATTCATTCCTATTCCAGCAGCAGCAATTTCTACAGTTATGTAACTGTTCCTATTCTAGCTCCGTATCACCACTTAATCACATCTGCTGGAGCTTTCCACCATTTTAATGGAGTTTCACAGTGATTAAAAAACAGACCAAAAAATTTTCAGGCATTTTTAGCAAAGAACACAAGGAAAGATATTCTTTTTGATGAAGCAGAAGGTGGTCTTAATATTGCATTTTATCAGTGCTGCACTAACTAAAGCTGCACAGCTTCTTCCTATCCAAACTGGCACAAAGACATGCGTCTTTCAAATCCAACTGTAGCCAGGACTACCAGGGAACTGACCTAATAAAAAAAAAAAAAAAAAAAAGAGCAGCATGATTGAAAAAGGCTCTTGAAGATTCTGTTAAGCATGAGGCAGAGGGCTAACCGGGATCCCTTTCCTTCAATCACAGTATATTTTATTAAATTATGAGAGATAGAAGAGGGTTTTTGTGAAACTGTTCTGTTCAGAGCCTGTCTGCAATTCATACGCTTGTTCTGGGGTAATACCAAATGAAGTACTCTGAGATCATCAAATTCATATAACTCTGCCTGTAAATACAATATTCATCTCTATTCAGGTATTCTTCAATAGAACTATGCTTTAATTAAGTTAGAAAATTATTGAATCTTTTTCTTCCTTTAATTTTTTAGCAGTTACCTGCAGACAAGCGTGCATCCTCTGATCTTAGTATTGCCAGCTCTGAAGAGGATAAACTTTCACAGAATGCCTCTGTTCTGGAATCTCTTTCTGAGAAAACAGAAAGTAATGCAGTTGAGGACAAAGCCAGCACTATATTTCCAGATAACAAAACAGCTGGAGATGAATCTGAGAACATTAAATTTAGGAAAACAGCTGATAACATATGCGATACTACTGTTGGTGATAAGAAAGTGCAGAATGGTTCTGTGCCAACGGGTGAAGATGAGCAAGGCAAAATAATGCCAGCTGAAAAGAATACAGAAAGCCTGGAAAAACCACATGAAGATTCGGAACCCCAGAAAGGAGGGAAAGAACTTGATGTGGTAACAAAATCAGAAATAAAGGATGAACCCAACCTAAAAATAGAGAAAGAAAATGACATGGGAAATGAACAGACAGAAGATAATAAACTGAAAATAGTACCTACAACTGAAAATAGTGTAGAAACTGAAGAAGCCATTTCTAAGGAAACTGGTGAAAAAGAAGAGGAGGAGAACAGAACAGATCTCTCAGAAAGTAAGGAAGAAAAGGTCCCTGCAGAAAATCCTACAGAGCAAAAGAAAGATAAAGATGAAGGTCAGAAAGAGGCAATAATAGACACCACTACAGAAACTCTACCTAATGCTGCAGGTAAAGTGGCTGATGAAGAAAAGGAACTAATAAAGCATGGAATTGGCAACATTAAGGAGATAGGTGGTATTGCTGAAACACAGATCAGTGATGGGGATAAAATGCCTGAGACAGAGGATAAGCCAGTGGAAAGTCAGGCTAAGCAGGTCCATGAGATAATCAGCTCTGAAGAAACTCTATCGGAAAGCCAAGATAAAGCGATCAAAGTAGACAAGAAACTGGCAGAAAGTGAAAATGAGGATATTTGTAATATAAGCAGCATGGAGGAAATGGAGATCAAAGACTCTGGAAAAGACAACGTAGACCAGAAGGCAATACAGAGCAAGCCTGAGGATACTTCTAGTAAAGTGGTGGATAAACTGACTGATACAGACCAAAATTCAGAAGAGCGCAGACCTGAGAATATCCAGGAAAACAATATTCAGATAGACAAAGAACATTCGGAAGTTACTTCTGATGAAGTAATGAAGAATAAGCTTCAAGATATTGTCAATGAACAAGCTGATGACTCTGAAGTCACTCCAGTCCCCAGTATTAGTATTAGCACTGAAGAAAACGATGAGAAACTCAAAACAGATAATCAAGACAATACTGAAACTTTACAGCAACTAGAATCAGAGAATTTGAAGGAAAATGATGCAGATTCAGGCACTGGTTCTACAGCTGATAACAGCAGCATTGATTTGAACTTGTCAATTTCTAGTTTCCTTAGTAAAAACAAAGAGACAGGATCAATATCTTTACAGGTAAGTATAAGCAATCATATATTTTTATATAAAATCCTATGTAATGTATTTTTTATAAAATCCTATAAAATTATCTCCAACTTTGACCTTTGCAACAAAGAAAATTATTGAGTGAGAAACTAGTACGACAGTGTGGAATATAACACTTTGTAGAAACCAAAGTATTCTAAATTGCGCACTCTAATGATGTCTGGATTTTGTGTCGTTGTGCAGCAAAGCTAGAAACTAACGAGCTGCTAATTATTTTCTTATTTTATTGCATAATTGTATTTTTAAAATACAGACTAGCATATAACAGGAAGTCTACTAATATTAAAGGTGAAGATTTGTGAATGGTTGTAGTTCAGAGCTGATATTCAAGAAGACTAGTTCCATGTCTTACTCTGCACAGAATCACTGTTTAACAGGACAAATCTCTTATAACATCTAATCTTATATTGAATTCCTGTCACTTCTATCTTCTGTCTCTCTGTTTAGATTTAGAAATTCTAAGGCAGCCAGTCTCTTAGATTTGTTTATTCCGAACACTGTACTCCTATGGTTACACTGTATCGATGCAGTTATGTCAGTATGAATGAGTTTATTCAGAGGAAGCACATTCCAGATGATGAACTTTATTTATATCTTTATACTAAGATGATTATAGCCATAATAGGATAGTAACTGTGTAACCACGGGTTTGAAGGAAAAAAACAACCCCCAAAAACAAACAAAAAAGCCTAAACAAAAATCATAACTTGGCATAGCTGTGCTAAGCATGACTTCAAGGTGTTTGCAGTAGCCCTAACACAATGGAGACACAGTTTCAGCTGGCGTCTCTCTTCTCTTGTAATGAAACAATAGCAGCTCTGAGAAGTGAGATTTCTCCAGTTCTGTCGGCAAGATCATCATATGATTTTTGACTTATATATATTAATAAAAAAAATAAACTTGCTTGTTTAATTTATTTCCAAAGCAGAAGTAAGTAGGTAAGTAAATTGTTGTTCTGTTTCAGTACTGTTTTTCAGAATTAAATATCTTTTTTGGTGTCTGGGAAAATTATGGTCAAAAGCAAACAGTAATTGCAACTGTCTTCAGCTCTTGAAAATAAAACTGCATCAGTTCTGTTCAGGGTTTATCAAGATTTTTTTTTTTCTTCTGGCAATTTAGATGATCAATAATTACTTTTTTCCTTTGCTGACTAGAGAAAGTTTCAGTACATTAGAATTTTCCAAATTCTCACTTGATTAGCAAGGTACCTGATAAGCGAGAACAACTCCGGATTACTATACAGTAGGCCTTCACAGAAATATTTGAAGTAATTTAATATTAAGAAAAAAGGGGAAAAGGGATATAACGTAAGTACAGAATAACTTACCAAAGCTTTATTCAGGAAACTAGAAGACAGAAGAAAACTTTGAAGAAAACTCGGAAGTTTGTTGTTGATGGAGTAGAAGTGAGTGTAACCACATCAAAAATAGTTACTGAAAATGACTCGAAAAGTGAAGAAATGCGATTTCTACGGTAAGTTTTTTTAAAAGTAAAGGTTAGCAGCTTTTAAAAGAAGTTAGTAGCTAATTATTTCTCTCTTTGAATAAAAGGAGGGGGCTAATGATCTTATTTCTGTAATACTTGAGGATTAACTTCAGTTATTTTGTTAGTAGAAAGGAATGTTAAGTGTTTCTTAATAAGACAATCAATTCAAAACTAGTTTTACTGGACCTAAGTTGTAGATGCTTTTTTCATTTTTTGTAATTTTCCACTTTTTTGTTTTCCCATCAATATTAAGTGTTCTTCTTCATTATTAGGCGTCAAGAGCTAAGAGAGCTAAGACTTCTTCAGAAAGAGGAGCAGAGAGCCCAACAGCAGCTCAGTAATAAGCTTTTGCAACAGCGAGAACAGATGTACAGACGTTTTGAACAGGAGATGACAGTGAGTTTCTCGATTTTGGTGCTCTTGAAATATGACATCTCGATGGAGTAGGCAGAATACTACTAGCAGCAATAAGGTGTTTCCTTTTATGATGGCAATAGCTTAGTTTTCATTCTTGTTAATAAATGGCAATATTTTCCATTGTTGCCCAGCTTGTATGCTAGAACTCGCCAGCCAGAACAGTTCATCATGGCCATCCTCTGCTGTGATACAGCACTTCACTGAACAGAATTTAGTGTTCTAAAAAAAGATGCCAAACTATTTTTACAGAGTAAAAAGCGACAGTATGATCAAGAAATAGAAAATCTAGAAAAACAGCAGAAACAGACAATAGAGCGCTTGGAGCAGGAACACACAAATCGTTTACGAGATGAAGCAAAACGCATCAAAGCAGAACAGGAGAAAGAATTGTCCAAATTCCAGAACATGCTGAAGAACAAAAAAAAAGAGGTAAGAGACGATGATAATATAGAAAATAAGGAGCATGGGCATAGCAAACAGTTAAGATTAGGTCTCCCAGAAGCCTTGTCAACCTCATGTGCTGTACTGAGTTATGGAAGGGTTACTAGCATTCAGTATTATTTCTTTTGTTTTAGTGCCTAAAGTGAAGTACAAACAGCTAACAGCAAGATTTAGCTATTGACTTAATCTAGAAAACATCACCAAGTTAGAAGACTTTTGTTTTTCACAGAATCTTTAATAAAATATTTTCTCTCAAGTATTGAATCAAGAAAAAGTATTTCCTTAAAGATTGTGAAAAAAATTTGAGATTTCTACTTTAAACAAATCCAGCTATAGCTACTTAGTGAATACTTATCAAATTAGAATTTCGAAGAAAAGAATATGGTCTTGATTACTACTGAGAACCACTTAAATTACAGAGATTTTTTTTGAGTAATTTGTTAGATTTTTATTGAATGTGTGCTGCTGCTGTTTAGAATTTTTCTAATAGTTACTAGACTCACAGAGATTTCTTTAGAAATCAGTACTGCCCATGCTTTTGCATAGAATGATCCTGTAGTGCGAAAGTGCATTAAAAAAACCTAAGTTGTATTCAGTTTGAACCATATGCTCATATGTAAATAACAATTTTTCTTCTTTTGCGGTACCTCTTGCATTTTTGAGTCTCTCTCTATTTACTGGTGATTGGGTCCTACATGGGAAAGCGGGAAGAATTTTACATATTGCTCTGAGCTAAAAGCAGTTCTTTCGTGGAAACAGGAATAGCATGTGGTGATTTGGACACTGTTTTCTGATGATGCTTCCACTATTAAACAAACAGGCATTTGTTTTTGGGTGCATAGTTTTGTATTTAAAGCTTAAGAAGGCGATTTACAGTTTGAAGGAAAATGCAGCTGGTGCTCTAAAGCTACCCATGCTATATTGGAGTGTGCAAAGTTACATTTTTATAATTCTTAAAAATAAATAAAACACATCAGCAAATTAACGGATTAATAGTCAGTTGATTTAGCCAGGCTATATTTGGAATCTTTCTACTAATCTAGTCTAATTCACCTTGGACTGAAACACATTCCATTCTAGCATACCTATCATGAAAAGTTTCTTGAAAACATACTTAGTTATTGGTGGTTTTTGCTTTTAAATTCGTTGGAACCAAACACTTACAATCAATTAATATTTTATTTGCTTGTGTGATTATTTTAAAGACATAACCTGTGTAGATGTCATTTATGGTTGGAGACACTAATAATGGCATCTTACAAATTCATGTTTGAGACAGTGTCAGAAATAGCTGGTTTTCAGTGGAAGTTATTTTAAACTTCTAGCCATTTTTCACAGCTTTACCATGAGGTAAACATACTCTGTAGTCCTTTTGCCATAGTGCTTCAAGAAAATACCACTTTTGCAGGTGGTGGTTTTCTTAATTATTGACTATTCTAGCTGCTGCATGAAAACGCAAGCAAGAGTGCCATTTCTGAGAGCACTGGGCAGCATTTACATGCAAAAAGAGGCTGGCATATACCTCCTTTCTGCGCTGCGTTGGCATACATAAAGCATGTATTGTTCCTTCTCTTTACATTAAGCTCTTTTCACTGAACTAACATCCCTGCCACTGAAGTAATGCATGCTTCCCAGTACCTCTAGTGCTTGACCTGCATGTCCTATGTTCACAGTACTGCTTGCTGTGGAGAAAGTGTGTTCTTTTCGCCACCTTCTGCATGCTTATATACACTGTAGGTTTTATGTGAAGTGGAGAAAGCACCAAAAGAGCTGAGAAAAGAGCTCATGAAACGCAAGAAAGAGGAGCTTGCACAAAGCCAGCATGCTCAGGTAACAACGGCAGCTTCAAGCTACTAAAATACAAAAGGCAGCAGTATTCACGCAGCTTGATGATTTCACTTCTTGTTGTTGTTGAGTGAATATGGAACTTAACTCAAACTAACCCTACGTCCTGCTCTCTTTCTTCAAGTACTCCCATATCACATCCCATAGAGTATACTGTGTAGAAATGTAAGAGCAGCAATTTCCAGGTTTGTGCTGTTAAGCATAATATTTTGTGTGCTATACTGAAAAAGAATGGTATTTTTCTACGGCAAGCTTATTTACAGTGCTTTTACAAGTGGTAAGTACCCCATAGCTCCATCAAATTTTAAAGGTTACAGTCAGAAGTAAGTTTTGAGCAATATAAGCACAGGGGAGGAAAATATATATAATATGTAAGCATGAGGCATCTTGTTCATAGAAGCAGAACAGATTAGGTAAAATGAAGTTATTTAAATGTCAAAGTGTGGGTGTATAGAAACTTTACATGACATCATCTGTAATTTCACGCCTTCAGACTTGCTGCTTTTATATGACCCAGCTAGAAAGGCGGCTAGTATTTTAGAAAAATATTGGCTTTGTGATGGCCACAGCTTGTACAGAGTGAGTTTGCACCACAACATAGCAGGTTTGGATTGAGTAACTTAAAGATTAAATGTTTATGTGAGTGACCTAGTAGAAAATAATAGCAACTTTATTTGACTACGTGTTTAATTCAAGAAGGGATTTCCCAGGATAGAATGTGATTGAGTTGCAGTGCTCTCCCCATATCAAGGATATGTGTCTCTGAACTTTGTAAGGAAACAATTAAAAACCTAAATTTTCATAGTGTTTGTAGTGATTTAGTTTGTTTCCTTTGCTGGTTTCAATTTGTTGAAGTAAGAGAGGTGAAAGAGACACTTTTAAAGGTAAAATATCCTTACTTAGAATGATAACTACTAGACAAGGTGTAGATGTTTGGTTTAAGAATATCTAGAACTTCTGTCAGTGACTACTGTTGTGTGATTAGGCTTGACATTTTAAATGTATATTACTAACATACAGCAGATCTCATTTCTTCTTTTTTTTTAAGAACAGAAATATATTTCATTATATTCTGACATAGGAAGTACATTGTGTCCCACAGGGTGTTGCTCAGGTTATGATTCAGTCTTTTCAGTTGTCTTCATGTACACTTTTCAACGCACAAATGCAGGATGTAAGTCTTAATGCAAAACAACAAAAGTTTTATTTCCCTAATTTTCCAGATGTGTGTTTTCTCTTCTCCTTCTGCTCATATGTGCTGATCAATGTCACGGATGTCTCCAAACTAGTTAGCACAAATTTATGTAATTATGCACTATTCGTAGGAAAAAGATCAAAGTTACAGTAGTTATTAACTCTGGGCAAGACACTGAAGTTTCACACAAATGCAATATAATACTATTCTCTGGTGTTTTTTATTTGTTCAGCACATGTGAGAAACAATGTGTGACTTCTATGCTGTGTGTGCAGTGAAACCATGTATTTTAAAGATACCTGAGTTTATTTTAAGATGCTTACTGGGCAAAACCAAGTGCTAATTTTAAAAAGGTGGACTGCCTTGCATTGTCTGCCTTTTAACCATCCAACATGTTTTTTAGTAAAATCTGTGACCTTTATTATATGTGATACTTTAGTAGATATGGGAAGTGGAAAGGCCAGAGTGTTTTCTGAGATTGCCTGGTTTATGTTACAGTGCTAGCAATTATAAAACTTAAGACTTAGCCATGTAGAGAGAGCAGCAATGGTATTTAAATGATTGAGTAAAGCTCGAGCGTAATTGCTTTTTGACCATGACTACACTAGAACAGCTTTCCCCCCGCTCCCTCCAAATAAAAAAATTCCTGGCAAATTAAATACCATGCTATTTATGTGTCTGCACCCTCAGAATAATAAACTTGTAGTTCTCGTATCCTTTTCATCTAGAAAGGGAAACAGAACAGTTTTTCATCAGTCCATGTATTTGATTAGGTATGTCTGACTTAATTTACAGACGTGGCCTTCCAGTTCTTTTCGTACCCTCACTGTCAGAACTTTGCACCAACTTACTCTACCTCTGGTTTTCTGTTATCTGTCTAAGTGTAACTCTGCTGTGCACAGGGAGAGGTGAAAGCCTCATCTATTAATAACTTTCTGTGAAGATGAAAACCAAGATTCTCCTGGTCATAATAAAAAGTACTTTTAATGAACATTTAATTCCATATGTTGCTGACAACTCTTTTAGCAAGTAGCATAGGTTCAGTAAAAAAAAAATAAATACATAGCTCAGGAGACCCTTCCACTGGTCATCTGTAGCCCAGTATTGTGTTCCTGCCTCATCCCGTCTCCCTTCCAATAGACCATCTTTAATGTTGCTTTGTTATGTATAACAGCAAATGCTTCAGCTGCCCACCTTGGCTCTGATAGGACACTGCTGTCATCCTTTCTTTTGACCTTTATATCATGGTAGAAACATCTGCTTTAATTTCTTGTTCTTAAAGAGTGTGTGTGTGCATGCTTGCATGCTTGTAGATGTGCTTGCTTGGGTTTTTTTTCATAGTTGCAAAAAAGAAAGGCAACAGTATGGTTTTGGGGCATGGGAGGGGGATTCTTACTACTGCCTGCTTCTCATGATGTGATGCAACAGAGTGATACACCCTGGATAATGGGAAGATGCAGGTAATGTGGGGACTGCATGAGGCAGATGGCAAATCGCTTTGCGAGAAGCCAACTCAGCTCTGGTGTGACAAGCTTACAAGTCCTGCAGAATGCAGTTCCTGCAAAAGCCATTGGGTGTCTTCATAGCAGTCTTGCAGAACTCCCAACCTCAATATCTTTGCGTTCATGACAAGATGAACCACTCGAGATTGAGACACAAATCTGAAACCCAACTGTGTAAATAAATAGGCTTTAACTGATCATCCAAAGCAAAATAACCGTACATACTTTGATTTTCTTACATCCGTGAATAATTAACCCTTGATATGATGAGATCATTTATATTGAGTACTTGTCTTTGCTAGCTTTGAACCTGCAGCTTGTTTTGAGGAGAGACAAGAGATGGAATGAATTGCAGATTGCTGGCTAGTTTGTTGCCTTTGGTCTTATTTCTGAAGGTATTATTTAAACATTAAATATTCTCTTACCTACTCTCTACATAGAAAATACAAGAGATGCATAATTTTATAGCCAAGGCATGTTAGCTCAAATTTTCGTAGATGTATTTGTTTTCATATATAGCTAATGCTGAGAGAACTGGGAGTTTCATTAAAATGTAATGTGGTTAGAAGAACACAATTTAATTTACTTCTATTGTTTTTTACCAGGAGCAGGAATTTGTGCAGAAGCAGCAACAAGAACTGGATGCACACCTGAAGAAAATTATTCAGCAGCAGAAGACAGAACTAGCCACTATTGAACGAGATTGCCTCAACAACAAACAGCAGCTCATGAGAGGTATCCAGCATCAGACTCTCTCTTTAAAACAGACATTTGAGTTGTATTTTAATAAAACAATAGTCTGCCTTAAATTTATAAAATAAAAGACCTTCATGACTAATCTAGAACTGCAATAAAAACATTTGCTATGGAATAGCGTAGTTCTTAAAATGCACTTGTAAGCCACTTCTAAACATACACTAGCAGGTAGATTAGAAAGTATTGTATTGTACTTTCTGAACCAGCCTTCCTCTTTTTTGCAGCTCGCGAAGCTGCAATCTGGGAGCTGGAAGAGCGACATCTACAAGAGAAACACCAGCTCCTCAAACAGCAACTCAAAGATCAGTACTTCATGCAGAGACACCAGCTGCTTAAGAGGCATGAAAAAGTTAGTGTTGACTTTGACACTTTCTTTTGTGTATTATAATATCCGTTTTTTGATCAAGCAGTCTTATGATCTTTACTGGTAGCTGTTTGCTTGCACAGGAAAGACTCACACGGGTATTTTGAAGCTGTATATGTTCTGTTGAATAAAAAAATCTTAATCGTCTTACTTTAATAACTTAGTAGTATGGTGAAGTATAATTGGTCATATTTTTCCCTTTTGATTCTTAAAAAAAAAAAAACCCAACCACAACATCAACCTTTTTCTATTAAAAATACCAAATTCTGCTTACACACAAAAACCAGTTTTGGCTTGTGTTTAAATAAATCTACTCATTAGTAAATCATCCTGGAATTAAATGAGCAGAATGAACTGGATTAGCTTTTGGGCAAGTAGCTGACAACTGTCTCTTTGTAGCTAAATCCTGTAAAAGCCCAGAAGACAACACTTATTTTCCACAGGGCATTTTGTTTTTTATAGAATACGCTAAACAGAATAGTTCAATTTTCGAAAATGTAAACCCAATAGAGAGATATTACAGGATCTCCTTGGTGATTGGAGCACGAGCAGCCTCCACTGAAGGCTTGTTCCTGTATGGTTTGGTTTATCCCCATAATGGCTGTTGCTTTCACCAGCTTTTGCAAGAAACTGACCCTTCACAACAGCAGTAGTGGAAGTTCAGTTCCACAGAAGTTTCTCCCTTTGAGTAACATAGACTTTTTAAAATGCAGTTAAGGAGTTAAATAACCACTGGTAAAATCTATGCGTTTTCATATTCATGAGAGAATTTCATCTGGGTTGGGCATGATCCAGAGCTGTCGGGAATAAGTGGAAGACCCCTTCCTCCCCATTGATGTCACTAGGGCTGGGACTGGTTTCTGCTAAAAGAAGCTGACTCAAACAGCATGCTTATTGATGAAATGAGATGCAAATATTCTAACATAATAGTTACTCTGTAACATTTCCATATGGTTAACATTTTAGGAAACAGAACAAATGCAGAGATATAATCAACGCCTTATCGAGGAGTTAAAGAACAAGCAAACTCAGGAAAGAGCGAGACTGCCTAAAATCCAGCGAAGTGAAGCAAAGACTCGAATGGCTATGTTTAAGAAAAGTTTAAGAATCAATTCATTAGCCTCTCCAGACCAAGATCGTGAAAAAATTAAGCAGGTAATTAATAAAAACAGTTTGAATAGTGTAAATGCTTAATGTGATGTAAATGTGAGGATGGGATAGAATGCACTCTCAGCAAGTTCACAGATGGTACAAAACTGGGTTGATGGACTGGATGAGGTCAGAGGGAGTCATCCTTCCCCTCTGGACTGGTGAGACACATCTGGAGTGCTGGGTCCAATCATGGACTCCCCGGTACAAGACAGACATGGATTTACTGGAGCGAGTCCCACGAAGGGCCTTGAAGATGACTGAGGGACCAGTGGGTCTGTTTATAGGAGGAGAGGCTGAATACCTGGGACACTGGAGAAGAGAAGGCTCAGGAGGATCTTATCCATGTGTATAAGTACCCAGCGGGAGGGAATAAAGAAGGTGGAGCCAGACTCTTCTCAGTGGTGCCCAGTGACAGGATGAGAGACAGTGGGCACAACTCAAATGCAGAAAAACCAATTTAAACGTAAGAAAACTTTCTTAGTGTGAGGATGGTCAGACACTGGAACAGGTTGCCCGGAGAGGTTGTGAAGATACTCAGAAACCAACTGGACACAGTCCTGCGCAACCTGCTCTAGTTGACCCTGCTTTGAGTAAGGGGGTTGATCTTAGCAGGTCCCTTCCAACCTCAAGCGTTCAGTGATTCTGTGAAGTATTTCTAAGAATATTTGATTTTTGTGAGGTTTTGAGCTAAAACTGTAGGTATTCACTTATTCTTCAGAAGGGAATGTTGTGAAGAGGTTTAGAGATTTCCTTTGTACTGATGCACAAAAGTCCCAGATCATGGTTTCATATAGTGAGCACTGGAAGGGTGGAAAATCTGGAAAATACCGTCTCCTGTAGCTGTATAACACCAACCTTAACCGACACTTGTAGCAACACTGCTGTGTCACTTGGCTTCAGAGGCAGATAATTTCAGGAGTCTGGAAGTGAAATGTGCTGTGTTCTAAGGAAAAATTAGAGTGCAGAGAGAGAAATGGAATGACAGACAAAACTGTGAGGGCATCCCTTTTGTAAGAATTTTAAAAAAGAGAATAAAGAAAATACGGTTATTGTTTAAACCTTTTAAAACCATTCTTTTCAATTATGCTGTTATGTATTCATTGTTACATACAGTTTTTTGACTCATGTAGACTGATGTATCTAGAGGCACAATATAAATCATCTTTTTATTTTTAATTTTAGTTTGCTGTTCAGGAAGAAAAGAGACAGAAGAATGAGAGGCTGGCTCAGCATCAGAAACATGAAAACCAAATGCGGGACCTTCAGTTGCAGTGTGAAGCAAACATCAGAGAACTGCATCAGTTACAGGTTAAAAATAGATGATATCAAATGAACATTCAGTGGGAAGACTCAGGTTAATAACAGACGCAGGCAAAGCAGAAGCATCTTTTTCTTCATTTTTACTGATTGGGTGTAGTTGTTTTTTTTTTAACTTAGCTTTCAAAGGCCTGCAGCGTACTGCTTAACCAGATTCATATGCTTACATCAGTTAATGAGAAATCACTTTACATGCAAGAAGAGCATGAACCAGAAGCAGATGATCACTTCCAGAATATCTATCAAGTTCCCAGCGCTATTTTCTGTAGGCAACATTTCCTTTTAATCTGATTTTGCTGAAACGTCATTAATCAGAACAGAGGTAGGCAGCACCAGGCATTACCCACAAGACGTTTGTAGCAATACATGGAATTAGGTGGTTTTTATAAAGTGCAGGCTGCCGTGTGTACTTGAGCTTCTGGAATGTACTTGGAAGGAATTCTCTTCTTGTGATAAGGAACTCCATTTTGTCCTTTTTGGTATGCATTTTGTAAAAGTTGCTGCTGTATACCAGAGGCCAGATCTCCTTTTCCACTAAGTCTGCTTTTCCCTGTTTCAGGGACACAGGGGAGTTTTAAAGCATTAAATGATCACCTGCTGATAACCTTTGCATAGAGAAATCTTCCAATGACCAATGAAGCTAATTCTACTCTATTCACTTTCTTACGTCCTGCGAAAACAGTCCCTGACTATGCCACTAATACGGCTCAGTAAATCCCCAAGTACCGTGGGAGTTTCAGCTCAAGTAAAATTGAGCAGATTAGGGTTACCCTGAGCTTCTCCGAGAAAAATTGGCCCCTGGCTGCACTCAGGTCTAGCCAAGTGCTTGTCATTTTTGTTCCTGTGTTTTTGTACTCTGCTTCAGACCCGGCTGGGACTAGAACCCTAGAAACAAGAACATAGGGTTTAGAGACTGCCATTGCCAACTACTCTTAAAAATCAAAGATTTGATGTAGCCAAATACTTAATTTTTTTTCTTACCATGCTTCAAAAGTCCTCTGAAAGTTAGGCATTTGCAGGTGTACCTTACTGAGAGGAATGTGCAGCTGATGTGTCATTTGATTGGCCTTTTCCTTTTTATAGGGCACTTCTGAGGCTGCTTCTGCAAGCACATTTCTCTTCTCTAAGTCCCATTTGTTAGTCTCAGCTCCTTGGCACCAAGAGTTGAAATATTTCGAAAAAGTTACCTCCTCTTTAATGTAATTGTTTTTAATTAATTGTACAAACTGTCTTTAGAAAGCAAAGCAGAAATGCTGTATGACCTTGAAAAGCATTATTAAGCAGTGAAACACAGTTTTGAGTAATGCTGTCAGCTGCTGCCTTAATGATACTCAATAGTATATTTCGATTTGCCAAGTATTTCTTATCTCAATTGCTTCTGATGGAAAGATCAGCTTTTGATAATGCAGCCTCATAACGTACTTTTATCTTGTAATTATTCACGTCACTATTTACACAGAATAAGCTAATTAAAAAGAATTAGGACAACATATGTCACTGTACAAATGTTGAGTTGCCTAATCTGAATTAGTTTTACATAAGGATTATCTTTATCTTGTTTTAAGAATGAAAAATGCCATCTACTGGTTGAGCACGAGACTCAGAAGCTAAAAGAGTTAGATGAAGAACACAGCCAGGAACTGAAGGAATGGAGGGAGAAATTGAGACCAAGAAAAAAGGTAAATCGGAGCAGTTTATGAATCAGATAATAATCAAGAGTTGCATCTAGCAAATACAGACAATATAAAAAGTATCGCAGAGGAGGAGAATCAAGCTACTGTACAAAACTGCTATAGTTCCCTGAATAATAAAAATAAAACATGATAAAAAAAAATGTGCAAAAGCTGAGAAAGGGCATGTGCAACAAAAAAGGCTTGCATGTTAGCAGCCTCTTACTGTGTTCCCTCTTGCAGTGCATGTGTGCATACTTGCATATAAAACTTCTCAACTGGAGGTAAATCTGGTTTTAGGAATATATTTCAGAAGCCAGTAGGTTACTACAAAAACTGAGTGCTAAATAACAGCTAGAGGGTGATGGAGGTTGTTTTTCGTTTTTATATTTTATTTTAAAATAGAAGGTACTAGATTTTCACACAGTTCAGAGAGTATCCTACAGGCAGATGATGTTCTGAGCTTGCTGTGTCTTGGTTCTCTTGCAATTTCATAATTGCTAGATGACTTTTTTTTGTGATGCTGTGTGAAGTTACGGTGTTGTATCAGACAATGTGTCACCAGTATAATAGGTTTCCTGTACTTTGCCTTGTAATCCTATGACAATCTGATTTTGGTTTTAGACGCTGGAAGAAGAATTTGCCAGAAAACTGCAGGAACAGGAAGTTTTCTTTAAAATGACTGGAGAATCCGAATGCCTTAACCCTTCAACACAAAGCCGGATTTCCAAATTCTATCCAATCCCCAGCCTTCACTCCACTGGGTCGTAACTCTGGGAACTGCTGTAGGTTTTTTCATATTTGGAATTCTCCATCCTCATCACCTAACCTGACTTAATCTGCGGTGTACATCAAAGGACCTAGCGCTTTTTGTTTTCAGTGGAGACAATCAGTGTCACGATCGGTTTCTTCTCAGAATGGAAGAAAAGAAAAAAGGTGTTGGTGTATAATGGTAATGTTATGTCCTTCAGATGTTTCAAGAATAAGTGGGGTTTTTATCTCAGTCTCAAAAACTCTGTTATCTATGGTTTTGACTTTAAGCTTAAAATATTAATTATACTCTTTCTGATCACAAAAAATGGTTTCTCACGTGAACATTTAAACAATGTAATATTAGTTCTGCTACTGTGTTTTTAAGTGTCTGATTTCTCCACCAGAGAATTCCACAACTGAAACTGCTGTGAGAGGTTTAAAATGTTACAATGTTGAGCAGTGTCTTCATAGCAAGGACTGAAACTAATTACTCAGAACATGCCAATAATCAGAAAAATAAACCCTTATGTTTAAACACGATTGGTAAAAGCAAAAGCCTTTGCAACTTCTTTCAAAAGAAACCTCTGGCATAAATTAAACTGAGCTGATCTCCATGACATATTTTGTCCATTAGTTCCATAATGAAATGGGGTGCTAGTTAAATTAATACAGTGCCTGAAACACTTAGATATGCTAATCCTGGCAACAGGACAGTGTTTTGTCGTTTAAAAAAACAAAACTCCTTAGCATTGTTGTTACTGTACAAAACAGAAGACTTCTTGCTGCTACTGCCATTTTTGTTGTAAATCCTCACCCTAAAATATTTTGCACTAAAATATGTAAAGGTGAAAGAAATGCTAACTTTAAAATGCACAGTTTATTATTTTCCTTAGCTATTACAGGTGGTTAGTTCTACAGATTGAAAAACTGTAGAATGTATTTTTTAGAAAGCGGTGTGCAAAGTGCACGTGGTTTCTCTAACTGTACCTGGAATGGGTAGAGCCATTTTTCTGTTCTTACCAAAGCCTGTTCATTTAAACTCCATCAGAAAAGTGGAGGTGGATGGTCATATTTATAAATAACCATGGCTAAAGTCTGATTTGATTAGAAGTGTTAGATTTGATTTTTTTTGTTTCAGTCATTTTATTTTATAGAAAGATTTAAGTTAAATATATAGACAAACTACTTTATGAAGCTGGGTCTTTTGCTTTTGTGTTGCCACGTACTAACATAGGCAGTTTTTATTTTTCAAGTTCATAGATGTACAATAAGTTATTTACCTGACTGATCTGCAGTGGAAAAAATCTGAAATGATTCTTATATAGCTGGTAGGGAAATACAACTGTATTAGGTTATTTTTACTGCACTCCTTTTGGTGGTTAGAGTTTGAGTCATATCAAGAGAGTATTATAAGCTGTACTTCGGTATGCTGGAGTTCAATTTGTAAAATAGTATTTGCTTTCTGTCATTTGAGGCCTGACTTTCTAGCCTCTTTGGGTATCAACTGTAAACGTTTTGTTTTGCTAGCTTGCATTAAATGTGCGACTGGTGAACATTACATGATGTTCATTTCATGGGAACAGTATTGATGCATGTGAATGAACTCATAAATTAACATAGGACTTTAATCGATGTGGTTGAAATCTTGGATGCTGAAATCCTTGGACGTTGAACTGCTACCTTCTCAATGAAGACACTTAAAATTTACAGCACAGTAAAAAAAATTGGAAAATGCATGTTTTAATTTAAATTTCGTAACTTTTTGATAGCATAATTACTTTAATAGCTAGCTTTAATTTCTGGCATTTTATTATATAAGCGTGTATTGTGTACTGTTGTAAATTCACATACCATATCTCTAGAATGTTATCTGTTGCTAAATGCAAAGTTCTTTAAATTGTTTATTTAGTAGGGTGAAAAATGTCTTTGAAGGCCTTTTACTTTTTAAGCTCCACCATCATAAAGTGACTGTTACTAAAACAACATTAAATAATCTTCATCTCTGCATTTAACAGAATTCGTTTGCAGTTTCGTATGAAGTAGGCTCAGTGCTTTACTTGGAGGGCAGGCAGATTTCCCCTTCTGGATTATCTCTACCTTCATCCACATTAAATCCTCGTAGGGAAATGACAATCTTCTCCTTATGTTTTTGGCAGTTTTGGTGGTAACTTGCATATATTGGCACACTGTTTACCTCTGTCTAAATCTTCTAAATCTTTTATTTGAAGATCCTTTTCACACAAGCCCCTGCAATCTGATCTCACTGTAAATTGCACAAATAAGTAACTGAGTTCTGTGATGGAGGGAGGGATGGAATGTAGCGATTGAAGCCTTAGTGGGTGTTTGGTCAGCTCTCCTGGTGTGGAGCACTGTTAAGCAGTTGCAACCTTGTGAACTGTGCTGAGAATTGATATCAAGTGTGAAAATATGTTTTTCTGGGCGATAACAGAAACTAGCATGGGTACTTACACATTTAGACTGATAAAATTGGTTTTAAGTATCGCAGAACATGAAAGAGGTGTACAATATTATATCAATGTCAGAAAATTCAGTTCAAATGAATTTAGTCTCACATAGGCCTGGAAGGGATCTCCTGAGATACAAAATCCAGTGTCTCTACTATCACATGTCACATCCCTTTAATAAAAGTTAGAAGCTCCATCTTCAAGGTAGTTAGGTGTATTTTCCTCAGCCAAAACAATGTACTTTCTTACTGAGTGTTTGGCAGATCTCATTTTCCCCACATGCCCTTCAAAAGACGACCACAAATCAGTATTTGCTCACCTTTGTGTTTTACTACATCATAAATACTGTCCACAGGAAAATGAACAAAGGCAATAAAATGCATGAATTGCAGTGCAATATAGTGGTTGTCCTCTTGTATTTACAACTGATTGTCACAAAAATCCCTGCCTGCAGGCCCACGGCCTCTGACAGATTCAGTCCTCACAACTTGTTCTGAAAAGCAGATTTCAGCACCTGCTAAGTCAGCTTTCTTGCGATGGCGCCTTGAAAGTAGAGGAGCTGGTGCCTCTACTCGCATCCTAACAGTTACTAGAACTCAGCTGTTAGCAGGGTCTTGTAGCCCTCTGCTAATGCAACGCTGCCGGTAGCCCAGGGGGATCTTTGGCTAACCAAACCTCAGGTGGTCTTGTTGCCCCTGTTCTTACGATGAGATTCTGCATCTTGAATAAACGCTGCAGCTCGCCTGAATGGGGCTGGCTGAGGAGGGTTTACCAGACGCGGAGGACACGGGCTGTGTCTCTGCCCTCGGCCTCCTGATGTCCCAGGGGAACTTTGCTGTTTACTTGGTTGAAGGGGAAATATTCCAGCATGTTTTTTTCTCTCCGATTCCCATAAAATAAATTTCTTTCTTTTTGCAAGCACTCTGCTGAATACGAGAAGCATGTAGGCATGAAAAGATAGGATATTGAAGTTGTTATGATTGATTAGATAGATCCTGATTTATTAAAGGTTTTTCTTCAGAAGGTGTTAACTGAATCGACACCTGAATTCAAATTCAGAGGTGGCAGTACTGCACCATTCACTCACACTGATTTTTCACATCACTGATACCCATTCCGAGCTGCATCCTTTTTTTCAGACAATGTTTTAAGCTAATACCCTTTTAAAATTACATTCATGGGTATTCAATATCTAATCAATCACATGGTTTAAAAAATTACTATTCTGTCCTGGATTACTTTCTCTATTATAACTACATGCTACTGGATTTTTTTTCTTAATAAATAGGAAACTTAGCACGTTAATTAAGACAGAGCCAAGCAAAGCAGCAATGTAGTTACTCTCATCACACCACAATGTCTTTTATGACGGCAATATCACATAGGAAGTTTAAGTTGATTCTCTACCTGAAACAGTATCTCTCTTGCAAGACATGGTACATGAAAGAAAAATTCAGACACTTAAGTCCACTTTTAGGTAGCCTGATTTTCAGAGCTGCTGTGTAGCTGCAGCTCCTAGGACCTCAGAAATGCTCATCTTTGCTGAAAACCAGGGAACAGACTTAAATGTGCAAATAAACTCAGTTTATTTGAGGACTGACTGTGTGGTCATTAGGGGAAAGGGCAGGGAGGACTGTTGATGATGGTCACTATGTAGATAACTTTCTGCTTTTTATGTTAGCATTTACAATCTGGTCATTTTACTTCAAAATCTACTTCTGGATCTCAGAAACTTCTTTGCATTGATGTGTCCACACACATTTCCCATTCCCTGATTTGTACTATACGTCAGCTTCACAGCAGATATACAATGAGGTCCGAGAGAATTAACCTTCCTCTTTCACAGGCAAGCCAAGGCCAGGATGCCCTGTCATGTTTCTCAGTCTTACAAAAGATGAGAACAGATAGAGGGAAGGAGAAGACAAAAGAAACTTTATAGCGTTCTCCTGTATTGCTTGCAGACCTTTTAGTTGTTTTCCATCCCCTTTCTCTCACCTCAATCCTCATACTTCATTTCTGAAGCTACTTCTGGCATTAGGGCAGTCAGTGGAGCCAGAGAAAGAAGACCACCTCTTAAATAAGAACATGCTCAAAACCAGCTCATGAATGAGGAAGGCTCATGTGCTTCCACTGTACTGAAAGTAGAAGGGAGTCGCTGAGCCCAAAAATGCTCTAATTTTCTAAAATCTCTTCCACAATTACCAAGCTAGGTGGTAAAACCTCTTTCTTACTGATTATCAACCCTAAAATGGTGGAAAGAACAGAAACTAGAAAGGGACACTGAGTGAAATCTGTAATGTTGAACTGTCATACTCCTGTTTTCTGCAAGAAAGCCAAGCAGGGTGGTCTTCTGCGATAAAGCATACAAATCTGACGCATCTCCAACCTCGTGTTGTCCCAGCAGTTTGTTGAATGTTTTGTGTTAACTGCAAACCAAGTTATTTTTGCCTTACAGAAAGCAACCAAAAATCATGAGATGGATGAATAATTGGCTAAGGGTCTCTGTATGTACAGCTCATGGAAGTGAACTTGCAGTAGCAGCCATACAACAGG